AAAGTTGTTGAAATAGACCTTGAAAGGTTGACACTAAGTCTAGAACTTCGAAATTTGAACTTGATGTTCCATAAATGAATTTTTGCAAACTGTTAAGGGGTTATTTATAAAAATTGGATATAAGTAATCTCACCTATAATATATGCAAATAGAACCTTTATGACATGAAATTTTGTATGTCATAAAGCTACTGTCATAATTTCACAGAAGTCATAAGTTTTACACAAATCATAACTTGACATTTTCCCGGTAAATGGGGTCTCACAGTAATATGTAGAGAGGAGAGCCATTTTAGCGGACATCGCTAATATTGAATTGATTTGATAAATACTTAGAGCGGATCATTTTCAATAAACAAAACGAAACGAAATATCTAGTCAACAAGTACAACTAGTATTAATTATTTGGTAAATAATGAATTTCAACGCTTTGCGTGAAACTATTAGTATTCTAGTCAGATGAAATCTTCATAGTATACAATAATGTACACCTTAAGTCCTTTAAGAGTTATAACTAGAGTCTCCTAGAGGGAGAGCAGAAATTTGTGTATAGATCTATACGGGGTTGACACCCCTCACCTTCGTTGTTCGCTACAGTTAGACCGGCCAGTCTAGGGTGACAAATGTCTTGAACAAAACTAATGCCTGAAGAATGTCATAACAGGCACTTCGTCATATTAATATGGTTATAACGAATCATTAGAATATATCAAAAATGTAATTATACAGATTTCATCTTCGGTTAAAAATCAACAATTCTGACTACCTCAATGAGACTTTTTTTGCACCCGTGTTATGTTATTACCAAAATTACTATTTTATACATCATAAAATATAGATTTTTCTGGAGAAACGATTTGTACGATTTTGGAAAACAATGAATTAAGACACACATGCAACTATACTCGATTTGAAACAAGAATTACAACCATTTGATAAGAAAATATTGGATTTTCTTGATTTTTAAACTAACATCAAAGTTTTTATACTCAAATGCTTAGGAAATCACCAACATATTTTATGTTGACGCTTTTCAAACGACTTGTATTCTCAGGAAATTAATAAGCAGGTTATGGATTGCGGACTCAAGCTTATTTTGCTGTATTTTGGGAAATTTGCTTAGTGATGTTCCTTTTGTGTACACTTGAAAACATAAACATGATGTAAAACAATGTAAGCTTGTTATATTTATGTATGTTGTTTGGATTTTCTATGTTTCATTTATATGCAATTGTCATGATACTACACAATGAAGTCACCCGCCTCCGGACGTTTCCGCCGTTCTGGTCTGGGGGCATGACAAGACTTGTTTCTGCTATCTTTTAGAATTGTTAAGGGTGTATTTGAGTTTTCAAAGCCTAGTACATTCAAGGATTGGGTGTTAGGAAGTATCTACTAGAGTTCATTGTGCATCATTCAAGCCGGAAAACTCCATCATATGGAGTTTACAGCTATAAACTAGAGCTTACGGCCGTAAACTCTTGCTTGGCCGTGAACTAGTCTCTTAAGTATGATTTTCCTTCCATTTCTTCACTTCTCACACCTTCAAGTCAAGAACACTCATTTCTCTCTCAAGTATCATCAATAACACGTCCATTTCTCTTCAAAGTTGTAAGTGATTCCTTCTTTATTTGTTGATAACCTTCTTGATCTAGTAAAACCCATGAATTCAGCTGTGAATTCATCACTTTTGGTCTAGATCTTCAAGATTATCATCTTTCACCAAGAACACACACTTGTTCTTGGTGGCCGTGAACTCCCAAAGGCTTCCAACCATAAGTATTCTTCCATATTCTTGTTAAACACTAGAAACTTTTGAATCCTCATGAAACAAACACCCTTTTAGCTTGAATCAAGGACAAATTTTCATAAACATCAAGAGTTTACAGCCATGAACCCTTGCATGGCCGCAAACCCTTCTTGATTTATGTTATAGCCGTGAACCTTTTCAAGTCTTGGCCGTAACCTTATCTATTTCATGTGTTGGCCATAAAGTCATTGGCCGTGAACACATCTAGGCCGTAAACACACACTTGTGTGGACATGAACACCTTTATTACAATCATATGTGATTGTAACACTTCTTTTCCAAGTGTTTCCTAGTCCCCAAGGTTGTTCCCTAACATGATTAGTTGTTATATACACTAATTATATACATATATGTGTCATTATATACTTAATAGGATCCGTTTGTGCTCGAGACCTCACTTAACACTTAGCATCCTATATCGATCTTACATTCGAATCACCTACTACAGGTGAGTTCATACCCCTAAACTTATCTTTTAAATGATTTTAAATGCTTTTATGGGGGGGGGGGGGGGGGGGAATACAAGTAGAAAGAATTATAGTTATTATATCAATCATATGTGATTAATAACTATCAAACAAGTGGATTTCTTATACTTCAAAACTGTGTTATCAATCAAAGTATTTCCAAACATTTTATAAACTAACATCAAGGCATCTATAACCATTCAAATGGTTAAAACTATTTTATATAATAAACTCTTTATCAAACTCTTTTGAACTTATATTATCAAAATCATGTCTATATAGATATAGTTATATAAATAAGGTTGAAAGGACTTAGGACTAATCACTCACTTTATTTCCTGTTCCTTGTTTGGTTGTGGACTTAGGGTATCAGTTGTTTGTCTGAGTGTCGTTTGAATCTTGGTTATATATATATATATATATGTGTGTGTGTGTGTGTGTGTGTGTGTGTGTTTAGATATAAAAGTTCTTCCAATCAATTCAATACCTTTGGGTAGCAAAGGTGTACAAACATGATCAATCACTCAAACAGCAATACTAGTAAACTATAATAGGTATTGTTTAGAGGATTACTACTCACTATTTCTAGAATAATGAAACTCATAAGACTCAGTTCATACATGAGTTAGAAAAGAACATACTATACACTAGAACAGAGAGAACATACTATACACTAGAACAGAAGGAAGATACTACACTAATATAAGAACACTATAACATTAATGTGAGCCACTACTTCATGGCATGGCAATATACTGCTGTGTCACGTTTTGTAACCAGAGTCTCCTGGAGGGAGAGCATGAATTTGCGTATAGATCTATACGGGATTGACCATCCTACACCTTGTTGCTAGCTACAGTGGGACCTGCAGGTCTACGAGTGACGAATGTCATACCATTTCGATGTCTTCGAACGTCGTGTTTTACTAGTCAATCAAGTATGGTTATAATCTCATCACATTTTACTTTAATTAAACAATTGGTTTAAGGTAGTTAGTACAATGGTAGTTACTATATACAATACTACAATAAGTTTATTTTCCCATTACATTCATATTGTGATCTTCTCACATATACGGTAATGTAAACTATATTTTTGGTAAATGATAGTCATACTTGGGAAAAACACTCACTTTTACAAAAGAACAAACATTTAGAACAGTTGAGTCTTGGTAGAAGACTACAATTCATTATAAGTAGAAAATATAGGATTTTCTAGGAGATACAAACATTTACATCAAACACCTACAAACATTTTACATCAAACACTTACAGACATTTTACATCAAACACTTACAAACATTTACATCAAACATTTACAAACACTTTCATCAAACTTATACAAACATTGACACTAAAATACTTTTGAACTCACCAGCTTAAATGCTGATTTAGTCTTTCAAAATAACTTGTATTCTCAGGTCACCAGTAGACAGCTACACTGGACCAGGTTTTGAGAAGACAGAGCTCGTTCGAGACTTGTCTTTTATTTTGATTCATATTTTGGTGTCTTTCGAACTATAAACAGAACACACATGTATTAAATTATATTATTAATGCAATGGATGATGTTGTTGCTTGTTTACTATTGTACATTGTTATGATACTGTACATAACGTCCTCTGCCCCTGAACGTTTCCGCTGTTCTGGTTTAGGGGCATGACAAATACCCATCCATTGTTTTTCTTGATCTCTGTTTTCCCCTGTTTTTCTTTCTTGCTACTTGAATCAAACAGTTCATAAATTGCATATACCTGGGTAACCCTACAATTGATATCTCTAACGGGAAAAATGCTCAATGATTCAAATGGTAATTGACCATATGTGCAGGTCTACAAGACGGCATTTCACATGAGACATGAATTGCAATGCTATTATCTTGATGAAAATGTCATCCGGTTCCCTCATGTTGAAGACAAAGTTAAGATCTTTGTTAATGAAGAACAAGAACGATGCATTAACAATGGCTAATCATTGACATATGGGAATGAAGTGAAATCGAAAATGATATGGGTATGTGTATTGATTGTGATATTGCTTTGTTCTTATTGTGTTGTTACCGGAATGAAGAACACGAGGTTATGAAATTCATATAACGACTTCATTAGCATCTCGATGGTTAATTAATGAAAATATTTATGGGTTCTTTCAATGGTCTTGAAAGAAGACGAACTTTAACAGAGCGTTTGGTTTTGAGTTTCGATTCGATGGAAGATGAAGATGTACCAAAGTTATTTTCCGTTGTGACCAGCTTACTCCTTCAAAACTTCAAAAAGGACGTAATCGACCCGACAAAAACTAGTTTGTTCCCTCATACAACAACAAAAATACTTTAAGGACTAAATAGACCAACCCTAGAAACTTCGTAGGCTATTTGTATCATTTCCCCATTAGTTTGTAGTAGTTATGACAATTTAAACTTTTTTTAAGTGTTTAATTAGTTTTTTTTTTTATTATTTTTATTTTTTTAAGTGTGTAAGACTTATTTTAATTTGTTGCAATTAATAAATATTTAAAAAAAATTAAATTTAAATTAATAAAAAATATAACAACCAATCCCTCATGAATGAGACGACGCTCTATAGACAACAATTTTTAGGGTAATACCGTTCTTTCTAACCTTACAAAAAAAAAATCCAACCCGTCCTATCAAAATTACCCGAAACCCGGAAGATATAACCCATGAACACGCTCCGTATCTAAAAATATCACTCTCTGCGGCCACGTGTTATTGGCATAAGCATTACACGTTTTCATTCACGTTGAAAACAAGCGTGAATTTCTCTGGATAGAAATATAGCAAACAGAATCTATAAAACAACAAAGTAGGTGGATCTTCTTCCTCTACACTTCAATTCAATGGCGATTTTATTCAACCCTAATATCACTTTGAAGCTCAACAATGCATCAAAACCTGTCATCCCAAATTATCTTCTCCAAAACCCTAGAAATCCATCATCGTTATCATCTTTTCATCTTTCTTCTCCAATGCGCTTACGCTGGGTCAATGGCAATGCATATGGATCCGACTTCAGTTACTGGAAGATGGTTCCAACTCGACACCAATCAGACTCTAAATTTGTGTCTCGATTTTCGGTCAAGAGTTCACAGTCACAAGCTCCATCAAATTCAAATGGTAGAATTATTTTTTGGTCTGCAGTTACCCTAGTGTTAGCTGTTGGGAATCGCGTGCTCTATAAACTTGCTCTAGTGCCTATGAAGGAGTACCCCTTCTTTTTAGCTCAAGTCAACACTTTCGGGTGATTTCTTTTTTCTTTGTTGATTATTGATCTACATTCATCCTAACATCAGTCAATCTGGTTGCAAATGTTATCTTCTGTTTGATGTAGGTATGTGGCGATTTATTTTTCTATACTGTATATAAGGCATCGTACCGGAATTGTAACGGACGAAATGATGATCCTTCCAAAATGGCGGTTTGCGGTAATTGGTATGCTAGAAGCCCTAGGAGTTGTTGCTGGGATGTACGCTGCAGGTATTGTTCGTTTCTTCTTTGGGTCTTGTTTTGTTTTGTGGCTAAAAATTGTTGCCTTGGCTTTGATAAAATGAGAGGCACATGCATTTGGGGTGTTTGGTTTTATGCAAAAGTTACAAAAATAGCATTTCCTCACTTTTCCAAAAAAGTCACTTTTCCTTATATTCAAAAATCTAAAATTCAAAAATCTAAAAGTAGCTTTTAAAATGGTTTTACAAAATTCTATCTTTTCCAAAAAGAACTTTTGGCCCCTCAAAAGATAGTCCAAAAAGTTAGAACTTCATTAACTTAACTGAAATCTGAATGTTATGATGTATGTATTTATCTTTTACAGCCATGCTCCCTGGACCAGCTATACCAATATTGAATCAGGTACAGTCTGAATCAGTTTCTGAAGAAATCTTGTGCTGTCTTTTTTTGACTTAATGTGGACTAGACCTATGACCTATCAGCTAGTTATGCTATATGTATATGGTAGAAAAAAGGAGGCTTTTTCCTTCCATTTCCCCTTTGTCTGTTGTCCAGGCTTAATGGAATTTTATTATAATAAAAAAGATGAGTTGTTTGTTGGGTAATTTGTGTAGTGATGATCAGTAAGTAGTATTTTTTGAGCTTTTAATGTTTGGGTGTCACAAAATCTAGTAGAGGATAATCCATTTCAAAATTCAAAATGCAACTTTTTACAAATTTAGTTTTTCCTTCCATTTGTCCTACCTAGTGACAGTGTGCTGTTAATCATATTCTCAAATATTTTGTAAAACATCATTTATCCAGAAATATAAAGTAACAAGGCCTAAGCTTGTGTTGTTGCAGACATTTTTGTTGTGGCAGCTGGGTTTTTCTGCTCTACTTTTAGGAAGAAGGTACTCATGGAATAAAATTTCAGGATGTCTACTTGTTGCTGCTGGAGTGGTTACAGCTATTGCAAGGTATCATAATTTTTTTTTTTTTTTTTTTTTTTCTTTCTAGAACCAACGATTTTTTGGTGGTTTTTATCTGTTTGTTCACAAGTTAGAAGTAATCATCAAAACAATCGAATGATTGCATATCATATTTCCACTGTATTTTGATATGCTGGAATTGATTATTTAGCATGTTCAGAATTGTTGTGTCATTATTCCATGCCCTTTATCCATCTTCAACTTTGAACCTTAATTTATTAGCCTACATTGAAACCAGAAGAAAACTAGACGAAACTGGACAAGCTGAATCTCTAGGGTTATTTTTGATGATGTTTGAGAGGGTATTTATGTCTTTTAAACCGAGTCTCAGTCCCAAACACACAGTATAAGACAATCAGTCATGTCATGTCCCGAGTAACACACACACACACACGAGGTCTTAGGACTTTTATGTGCGTGTGTGTGTGTGTATATGTATGTATATATATATATATATATATATATATATATATATATATATGTCTGTGTGGTTTGAGAACTAAAAATAGCATACGACTTTGACAATAGCGGATCAGAAAGTGGTCAAATGCTATCGGGAGTTGGGATGCTGTGGCCAATAATGATGGTAGTATCAAGTGCATTCCAGGCTGGTGCAACCATTATCAAGGTAAGGTAATAATATATATATATATATATATATATATATATATATATATATATATATATATATCATTTGAAAATGGTAATTAACTTTAGAATGTTGTTTGGGTAGGAGTATGTTTTTATTGATGCTGTTACTCGTCTAAAGGTACAATTGTTTCCTCTTGTTTGAAGAAACATATTATTATTGCTTGTTATGTATTTCACATTCCATTTTGATTTGTACAGGGGAAGTTGCTCGATATATTTGTTGTTAATTCATTTGGTTCTGGGTTCCAGGTACTTACTTAAAATTAAATACTTCCTTACAAACACAAATCAAGCATATCAGTATTCTGTATATTCTGTACACGTTCACTTTATCTAAATAAAGGGTATTTTGGTCATCTAATGGTATAATTCTTCTAAACTATTTAGAAATACCAGTTCCTACCAACCAAACACATGGCAGATTATAATATCTTCATTTGACAGAATCCATCCTTTCAAAAACATTTTGCAAACCAAATGCCCCTAAGAGTCTTTGTCTAGAAATCACTCATTTATGCCAATCAAGTGTAACGTTCTTTTTTCATTTTCCCAAGAGCCTTTTATTTGCAAAAAGAAGCTTACTAAAAAGTTATATAAACCCAATATTAATGACAATTCATATCTTTGTATTTCTTGTATTGAGTTATGAGTATATTGAAAGTTGCTTTTATAATGAATCAGTCATTAATTTACGTATGTGTTGTTTGTTACTCTGGACAAGAGTGAACAGGTTCTACTGCATTTTGGTCAAAGGGACAAAAATAACATTTTTTTTTGTCCCACCCAAAAAGTGAAAGAAGGTGGGACAGGGACTCACTTTCAATTTCCTGTCTGTGAAAAAGACGTTAATGCCCTTCTTGTCTCATCATCGAGAATAAAACCTATAAAACTTGTCCTGTCCCGTGTAACAGACTACACATAGTCTGAACATATCAAATTATTTTTGCTGATGATGATTTATTTGTAGGCTCTTTTTGTGCTTTTGTTTCTTCCCTTGTTATCAAATCTGAAAGGCATACCACTTCATGAGCTTCCTTCATACATTAAGAGTGGAGCTGGTTGCTTTCTCAACATCGGCGCTAGTTCATCAGGTGATATTCTTAAAATTTATGCAAATAATTGCAAAAGGGATCTTGCATGCTATGAAGCAACACATTAAGTCCTGAATGGATAAGAATACATTCAAAACACACATGATTTTGGGAAGGATAAGGGATGAGAGTTGGAGAGATAATAGTGATATCATTAGGTATGAGAAATCTGTGATTTGATCAGAAGAAGACTAGGGCAATTGTGGAAAGTGTCATGTCACTCCCCCTACCCATTTTCCATGTTTAGTCTTTATTTATTCATTAAGTGTGTATGTGTGTATAACTTACCATATTAAGTTCATTAAGTTGAAAAGAAACACCACCTAAGACTTATAGTAAAAGTAACCATAGCAATGAATCACTTAATAGACAAACTAAGGGGAATGAGGCTTTCCCCAATCTGTTAACAAATTCACCCTCTTGTATTTATTCCTTTCATTTTCTCAAATAAGCTTTAAACATCATTTATTAACATGATTGTTGGTTTCAGGTTGCGAGGGTTCTCCACTGTTGCCATTACTCTACATACTCAACAATATTGCTTTCAACATATCGGTTCTCAACCTCGTCAAAATTTCTTCTGCAGTTGTTTCTTCACTAGCAATTGTGTTATCAGGTCTCTCTCTCTCTCTCTCTCTCTCTCTCTCTCTCTCTCTCTCTCAAACAGAAGAAATAGGTTTTCTTTCTTTAGAATTCTGCACTTAGGGTTCAGAAAATGTTAGTGTGAGATATAAAGAAGGAGAAACAGACTTCATTTATTTTACTTGATTAAAAAAACAAAACAGGAGGAAATATAAATAGTAAAAAACCTAGGGCCAGCTAACAACCTCAAGACCTAATTTTAAGCTACTTTCTTTTTTATTATCTAAAATAGACATTTAAATAATAAAAAAGAGAACAAATTGAAATGATGTGTGCTAAAATCTTCACTTACCCTAAAGCTAGATATATCCAGCTTGCTCTTCATACTATCAAAATTATTATTCGGAAGGCTCTTTGTAAGAATGTCAACAATCTGAAAGTTTGAAGGAACATAAGACAACTTCATTACACCAGTTCCAAGCTTTTCTTTGATGAAATGACTGATGATCTAGCTCCATGTGTTTGGTTCTATCATGATGTATTGAGTTTTTAGGTATTTCAATGACAACATTATTGTTGCAAAAAAGGGTCATTTTCCTGCTGTTAGGAATCTTAAGTATCCTTCCGAGTCAAATTCCCTTACAGATTCCTTGACAACATTATTGTTGGAAAACATGCATAGCTGTTGAACAATGTATCTATGTGTCATGCCTTAGACTTGATAAAACCAAAATTGATATTCCCCAGAGTTCTCTGTTTTGGCATAGTAGGGTTCTTCAAAGAAGGTGACATCCATTAAGTGAACAAAGATTTGAGTGGGACTTTTGACAAAGTTGGAATGTGAGGGAAGGACCCAAGTTTCTGGTATGGGGTTTTGAATCCAATAACCTGAGAGGGCATTTGGTTTGATTAAATACACAACAGTTAAAATTGCTTATCCATAGAAATAATTTGGGACAATGTTGATTTAAGTAGCTTCCCAACTGAGAATCAAAGTATTCTTTTGCGTTATCAGATTTGAGGACTCAAATTTTGGTTGCAAATTGATTTTGGAAGATCTTATGACATTGCTGAAAAATTGAGAAAAACCCTGTGATACGAGTATGGTTCCCTCTGATGCTATCTTGTAGAACATGAAGTGTTCATATTGTATTTAGGAGCCAAGACACCATCTTGTTTTCAACTTTCCACTTTTTAAATCCCGAACCTCTCTTCTGGTTCAACTATATATTTTTTTTCTTCCTATGAAAATGTGACCAAAAATCCTAGTTTTTAGCCGGTGGGAAGAATGTTGTAATTTGGGATTTCGCTGGGTGTGAGGTGCATTCTCCAACGATGATCCTATGTTTCTCGTTCGCTGATTAGGACAACAGGAGCAAACAACAGGAATCTTTTTGAATCGTATTCCGGTCATGATATAATAAAGTAGAAAGAATCATAAAAGTACTTACTGGTTAGGACAAAATCGAATACCACTTAGAATTTTGAAAATGTTACCTTGAGATAGAGAGAAGAATGAGAAAACGACTTCATTTATTTTGATTGATTAAAAAAAGGAAAAGGAGGAGATATAAATACTAAAACCCCTAGGGCCGGCTAGCAACCTCAACACCTAATAGCTACTTTCCTTATGGGTAAAATAATAAAAAAGTTAAATGAAAATAACGTGTCCTTGGACTGTTGGACACATAGAAAGACTTGTGCTGTGTTTGATTTTCAATGGTATGAAAAGTCAATGTTTTAAAACCCGGGTCGACCCGGCCGGTTCAACCGGTTGGACCGTGACCCGGGGTAGAAGGCGGGTCAATTGAGAATGGTTTTTTGTAAAATTACGGACCGGATCGAACCGGCTGGGTTTTCCCTAAACCGCAGTTCAACCGCTTATGTTGAACCGGTTAAAACCGGATTGACCCGTTTTGATAGGGTTTGGATAGTTGGATACAAGTAACGAACGTCAAAACAACGAGTCGTTTGCGGTTTCTTCAATGTTTAAACTTTGTAGACATCAAATTATTAGTTTTATATGTTTATGCATTATGCGGGAAAGTAAAAATATATAAAAATAGAGAAAGATCATAATCCGGGTTGATCCGGCAGTTCAACCAGTTGACCCGTGAACCGGTCATCACACCGGGTCAACTAAAAACCCGGGTTTTAAAACATTGTGAAAAGTTGCAACTTTTTTGTTTCGCTCAAAAAGTGGAACTAGGTGTTACTCTCAGACTCTTATTTGTGCAAAAAGTCATAACTACCCTCGACCTCGTTATGGTAAGTAGACCTAAAAAGCTTGTCCCAATATAATGGGTGTTTGGGATAGTTTTTGAAAATAGCTTTTTTAGTTTTTCCAAAAAACTACCAAGCTAAAAAAATGTGTGAACTTAAAAAGCATTTTTTAAAACAACATTTTGGATAGACAAAAATAAAGATTTCAAAAAGCTAGAAAATCCTAATTTTTGATCTTTTTTGTCATTTTACTCTTTAAAAACCATAAGCTGATAAACATTTTTCTTAAAAATCACTTTTATAATAAAAAAAAAGCTAACCCAAACACACCCATAGCATATACTAATCATTTTTGAGATAGTGGTTTTGTTCCACATTTTGGCTATTACCATCACATGGCTTGTTGAAAAAATAAAAACATGAAATTTTAGTTTCGGTTTGGAGACTTTTGTTTCAAAATATTGGCATTAATGATGTGATTATCTTTCTAAAAATAAAATATTCATTCTATTTGTAGAACCAAACTGACCCTAACCTAACCTGATGGAGTTTATTTGGTTATTTTTCAGTGCCAACAACCATTTACATTCTTTCCCTTCCGTTGCCATACCTACCTGAAGGCGTAACTTTGAGTCCTTTCTTTCTATTTGGAAGTGTGATACTTGTGTTGGGTCTTATTTTATATAATGTACCTCAACATAGCAAGCAGGACCCTGATTTCATGTGATTTTCACCTATGCCTGTTTTGTTTTTTATTTTATAATCGTAGTCTAGAAATATAATAAAGCTTAGGGAGGTAAAATAGACATACGCACGCTTTTGCTGTTTATTTTTTTTATTACGTACTCTAGAATTTTGTTTCATTAATGCTACTATACTCGATTTCAGAACGCCAACTCTAAATTCAGATATTATCTTTTTACTGCATGCTATTTGCTATTGCTTGCGTTAAATATCCCATCCTGAAAGGAGACTTAACATCATCTCTTTAGGCTGATTGTAGGAACTAGGAACGATTGGTTTAGGAAGAGTTGTGTTTATTTTAATTTAATTGTAAGCAATCAATTAGTATATACAGATTTAAATCCTTCTCCTATCATATAGTGTTTCCATCTAGTGATAACAATCTGAATATCCATAAATCATGTCAATTTTTGTTTCTTTTTTCTTCTCTGCCGGTATTGGTGTAGTATTTCTGTTTTCAAGCAGATTGTTTTTTCTATTATAGTCTCTGATCTAAGGTGCAATATTTTGCTTCAGTCCCTATTGTTTCAAGAATTGTTGTTTGCACTCCTGCATCGTAACTTTTGTTAATTTACAATATTAACTTTAATTATATGTAACAATATGCTTCTAGTTTGTAGATACAAAAAAAAAACATTTGTATTTTTACAACCCTACATACATGAAAATTAATATATATATATATATATATATATATATATATATATATATATATATATATATATATATATATAATATATATAATATATGATTAGCATAGTTTAAGGAAAGATGTTTTGTTGGAAAACACATGTTTTCATTTTCCATTTCCGTTGGTACGATGGAGGCTTTTGCGGCAAAAATAAATAAGTGGCTGAGAATGATTCCTTCATTCTCAACATTTTATATTTTCTCAATTAAATTTACATCTGTCTCTCTTTCTCTCTCTCTAGAATATCAATAATTAAATAGATTAAAAAGAATGGTATCAGAGCCAATAAAAGTTTTTGGGTTGGTTATGCATGGTACATTTATTTCAAATTTATTTAATTTTGGTTTAGTATTCTATAAGAAATTTATAAGTTTTAATAAGTATGATTCAGAGACAAGACCAGTGATTGGTTGGATTAGCGTAAAGCGCGCAGATAAGGACGTAAATCGCGGTGCCGGGCCACAATCATCGTCGGGACGATTCCTCTCTGGTTACCGTCATTAAAACAAGTAAGTTTTCTTATAGAATTTTAAAGCAAAATTAATTAAATATGAGTAAATTTTCAGGCGTACTATCCAAAAAAGATATTCTTGGTAAAAATATCAACAATGAACAAGATTATGATGATAATCAAATAAATTCTATTGAAGAAACCGTTAATAACATAGAACAAAGTTTAATTAGACAATACCTAAAACTAATGTTAATACAATATATAGAATAAGAACTTTTGATTATTTTCAAGGTTATTCTATTAAAATGACAGAACAAACTTTGTCTGTTGGTCAAAACCAATAAAATTTACATTTGTTATCATCACGATCTATTCTAGAGCATAGAACGAAATATAATTTTTTACATGGCAGTTTAGTCCAAATTGCTATCAAGCTTCTATTTTGAATTGGAATAGATGCCCTAGTTCTCCTTATTTTAAGAGACAAGAGTCAAAGATTTTCAAAACTCTATTTTAGCTATGGCTGAAACAAATATTGCTAACGGATCTATTTATTTCAATTGTTATCAAAATTTTTCTATAGGATTATTTGATAAAAATATTTTAGATACTTTGGTGTTAACTGTAGATTTATTTATTATTATTATTTTTTTAAAGATGATACAAAGCCTTTAGCAATAATTTATCGTGTTTGTTACAAGACTGACAACTACACTTAAACCGAAATCACGTTTATCAAGTCCTAGAAATGAAACAATTATTTTTGAAGCAAATACTAACCATACCAAAGTTCACACACCAAAAAGATTAAAATGGTCTGATATAACTCAATCATTTAATTGGAACTTACAAAATGTTATCGATCCAAAACCACTAGACTCTTCAAAACAAATCTCAAATATTATTGAATATAATGATGATTCAGTAGATATAAAATTTTCTTCCTTCAATATTTTATTATCCAGATTATCAACTTCTTTTATCCCAGAAACAGGCTCTTCAAAATCTTCGTTATAAATTATAATTTATGCAAAACCATTCAATATTTAGAAGAAACTAGAACTCATAAAAATTATAATTTATACAAAATACCTCCATACATTAATAAATATAATAAACAAATAGAAAAATTTCTAGGCTAATGATAGGAATAAAGAAAATACGAAAAATGAAGAAGTCATAATTTAGAATCAATAAAACATATTTCTTCAATCCTAACAAAAACAACCTGTTAAAATGAATTTCTCGAATTTAGAATATCAAGTTGATTTTGATTACTTAAAAGATATTAAGTATTATAAAGATTATAATAATAATAAAAAGAGCTTGACACGAAGAAAATTTTTCATACTATTTAATATTTCTCCATTTAGGCATTTGGGAAGATTATGTTTTATCAAATGAAATTCATTCTTTTTTTTAATGGTTTGAATTAATTTATGCCCCTAAACATAAAATAAATTACCCATTTAAAAATGATTCTATCACTCCCATTTTAGAGAAAAAAATATAAAAATATTATTTCTAATAAAGAAATTATTGCTAATTTTCCACCAAAAGGAAAAATTATTATTAACGATATGTTTATTGCAACTCCTTTAGTTCAAGCCCCAAATCAATTAACTACTGAAAAGGGTCTTCAAAAAATTATTTACCAAAATAATTATGCAAACGAAACCTTATCTAGTATTACCGAACATTTAGTTAAAATTGAAGAAAAAATTTTCAAAGATAAAAATGTTAATAAGCAAGATATGGCAAGCACTAGTGATATAAGTTTTGTTCCTTGCCAAATCGATGATAATTTTAATCTAGGAAATACAGATTTAATTAACGAATTAGAAAAAAGACTTTCAAAACTTCATATCTTAAACACTAACAATATTAATACTCTTACAAATGACGAATTTGAAAATAGTGATATTAATAGTGAAACAAATTTTGAAACTCTTGCTCAACAATTTGTTAATACAAATGATGATATTAATCAACTCACTAATGACTTTTCAAATCTTAATAAAATTTATTAATCAAAGCAAAACACTTTCGGAAAGAATCCAAAACCAACCATAAGAAATTATTGGAATATACCCTCTCTTCCAGATGTTCAGGTTGAAGAACAAACTTTTCAATTTGATCGTTCTCAATATGATGGTAATTCTGTTTATGAATAGAATATTGATGGCCATTCTGAACATCAAATTATGAATATTGTACAGGAAATGACTATGGCTGCTAATACTTATAAAGCTTATAATAATACTCAACTTCAAATTATATATATTATTAATTCTGGTTTTATTGGCAGTCTTAATGGCTGGTGAGATTTCTATATTTCTCGAGAAGAAAAAGATTATATTTTATCTGTTAAGAAAACTATTATAAAACAAGAAAATAATCAACAAATACAAACGTTTGAGGATGATATGGTTAACACTTTAATTTTTGCTATTATCAAAAACTTTGTAGGAGATCCTACTACTTTTCAAGAAAAAACTTTAGAAATTTTAATGAATTTTGTAACACTGAAATTTTCAAAACAAAATTTTCATTTAAAATAGTTTATCTCTTTAACACTTTTCATAAAAATCTCCTTTTTGTTTTAATTACAATACATGAATCTTTTGTTCAATCACTTAATAACCAGGATCTTCAAAACAAACTTTTCCTCTGGTATGTACAATCGAGCCAATGCCGTCCCGTGATCTTGAGAAAACCTGAAACACATAACACAAAACACTGTAAGCACGAAGCTTAGTGAGTTCCCCAAAATACCACACATATCACACACTAGCCACTCGAGGCTATAACTCTGCGGGCCCTTGGGCCCTAACTCTGTGGACCCTCTGGTCCTAGCTCTGTGAACCTCCCGGTTCTAATTCTGATATACACATGACATAAATCACATAGAAATAATGCAGTGCAACACATCACATAGATAGCATACAATAACTCTGTCACATAACTCTAATTACCTACTCAAGGTAAAGTATGGTGAGAAGACTCACCTCGGATATCTCGGTAAATCTCTGACTGGGTAGAAATATGGTTTAGCCTCCGCCTGATCACATAAGGTAAATACTCTGATAAATATAACTCTCGAGACTAGACTCAACTCTCTCTTGGCATCCTCAGAAGGGTAAAGACCATTTTACCCCTCTTGGCTTAACAACCCCATTGTTGACCAATCCCTAAAAGTCAACGGTCAAACTTTGACCTGACTCGTCGAGTGCACTTGGGCAACTCGGCGAGTCTGCACGTGTCCACTAACTCCCTAGTCTCGTTTGGCATGTCGAGTCCCTCCCCTTGCTCGACGAGTCACACCTGTCATGAATCGCGGGGCTACCCCGACTCAACTCGCCGAGTCTCAAGATCAATTCGGCGAGTTCCATCTTGAACTCCAGTCCTCTAATCTCTCTCTAACTCACTGAGTTATTCCCCCAACTCGGCGGGTCTACTCGCTGAGTGATTTACGGGAAACCCTAATCCTACTCGCCGAGTCTGCCCTTGGACTCGGCGAGTTCACGCCATGCACAAACTCAATTGACCTCCTAAGGTCAGATCTGTTCCCTTGGTTCATAGATCTGACCTTCCCAAGCATGATAATCACGTAAAGTTCAGACCTTGACACTCATATAGCATCTAGATGGTCTCACTTGGTGATTTAGCCCTAAAAATAACTTCCTATGTTCATGGCTCCCAAAATAACCCATAAAGCTCCAAGGGTTAAGGTCTCTGGACCTCTTTGAGTCCAGATCCAAAGCATAAACTCGAGAAGGGACCAATTGCTCCACATATTCATTCTCTAAAGAGGTTAGAAAACCCTAACTCTAAGAATCAACACCAATTCTGAAGAAGGTCCGAATAAATACCTCAAGATGAAGTCTCTGAACTCCGAAATCTGAAATCACCTGAATCGCTCCTCCTTCAGCCTCCTCTTGCCTAGGTCACCTCCTTCTTGCAATCACACCCACAAAATGATCAAAAGTGGCCTCTCCTTCCTCACAAACGCTGTGGGGTTTGGTAGCCACAAATGACGGCCCTAAGGGCCTTTAAATAAGTCTCAAACCCGGGAAATTAGGGTTTCATTAAACAGCGTGGACTCGCCGAGTCCACTCATAGACTCGTCGAGTCGAGTCGTGAACTCGGAAAAGAATCCGCGACCCTACTCGGCGAGTCTAAGCACCAACTCGTCGAGTCCCTCCACAAACTCCAAAATAAATAAATCAAATAATATACCTGAGAATGCAGATGTTACAAATTTACATTGCAGAAAAATTACTGATTTTAGATGGAATAAAGATAATTATCTTTTTAAAGTTTTTTCGAGACCTGAAGGTAAAGAGTCCTACTGGAAAGAACTTTTTATTGCTGGCCTCCCAAAACTCTTTGCAGAAAGAGTTAGACAAAAATTAATAGAAATTTTTAATAATACTATCCCTTAACAAAATTTAA